CCACAACCGTGCGTTTTTGTTGAAATTTTTTACCACGTACGACAAAACTGTGGAATATGCTGTCGCCAGCAGCGTTTCCGGACCAATACGACCCAAGAACCTTCAAAAAAAGAGCGTACTCCTTCCATAAAGGCCGGCATCGCATTTGTGATACTCCTGGTGTTGCAAGTGTCCATGGGCGACGGTGATCACTTACCATCAGGTGAGCCGTCTGCTCCTATGCCCCCTATAACATAAACGTAAGCTAGCGTACGGAGAGGCGTAACCTCCGTAGGTTACATCAAAAGTTAGAGTTTTTTGATGTTTAACATCTTTCCTCTCGCTTTCCTGCAATTTCTGGGAGTGATTACGTGAAATGGGACGGACGTGTGTAACAGGAAGTCGCGAAAGCGCGCGCTATTTGATTTGATTTTAGAATATAATATTCAAATGGCTTATTCCTTTTGTAGTAGGTTTTATTATTCTTTTTTTACTAATATAAGGTGAGATTTCAAATGTTACACATCAAACGCGACTACTGTAAGCACTATAAGGCTTGTGTTATGGGATACTTGGGTAACGGATAGAATCCATACATATACTGTACATATATGTGTTTTTATATAGAAATACATATTAAACATCCATGACTGGAGTACAAATGCTCGTAATCATGACACAAACATCTGCCACCGGGATTCGAACCGGGAACTCTCGAATCGGCTACACCATGAAACCCGGCGTACAAACCACTCGGCCACGTAGAGTTGATCACAGATTGCACAGTTGGCGGTGGCGGTTCGCGAGCTTGTCCAGAGGCGAGGAGATTACGACAAAAGCACACTGTACAGGGTCTGTCACAGAGTAGCAATCCCGTTTATAGCTATAATTTTAATGAATAAATGAAAGTTTAAAACTATATAATAACAAGTTTGTTTCCGGAGTTCCGTTATTATGCAAAATTGTTCCGTTATTGCGAAGGGAATGACATGGGCTGTAATTGATTCTTCAAACAGTATGAAATTGTTACAGCTACATATTATCCACACAGGAATCTATTTTTATTGTATCGACGTAATTAGGAAACTCATAAGCAAAAAACAAATATGGTTTTAGATTCAGTATATTGAAACAATTTACAAGGCTTTTGTATTCAGTCCGCTAACAGAAGCAATTACACTTTTTATTTTTATCTGTCGCTTCTCAGTCAGTAATCAGCATTATAGTATGTTTACTAAGTCTCTGATACCATGAAAATAACCTGTGAAAGTAATGGTGTGTCACACAAATTACATATACCTAGGGTTTAACCTTCCGCACTGTCGTTAAAGATCTCCTTATTAATTAAGCCATAGAAACAGTTAAATACATATTTTAACAGGTATTTTCCTTTAATAATATTGTCCAATAAATTTCGTGGCACTTATTAATTAAATAATTATGCCGTCTATTATAATAGAATTTATGTAAGGGTAGGTACTGACTGGAGCATTTCCATTGGATATAACATTATTTCGAATGGTAAAAGCAAAAAATCAAAGGACTAGAACAAATCTTTTTACAGAAACATTTCTGCAAATGCACGACGTTTTTCCTAAGGCATGCGAGTTTTCATATTAACTTGTAATATGTCTATTATGCTCGAGGATTCTACACCCATTTGCTTTACTCATTAATTTGTAAAATAGATGTTTTTTTAGGCAATATTTTGTTGTTTTGTTATAGGTCGCAGCAAGCATCTTAAGCAAAACGACGGACAAAAAACTAGCGCAGTAGACGATTTTGTATATTAAATTGCTACTGCGCAAACTTCTTCGTCTATAGTTGGTGCTCAAGCAGCTTGCCGGGATGTTTACAAGTGAGTAAATGCTCCATTCTATACTAACCTTCATACAAACGAAGTTATCATTGAGAGCGCGTTCCAACACTGACTGGGATAAGTTTAAGTTATGTAACATAGAAGTAAATAAATAATTCCACGGCCGTACTTAGAGAAGTCAATTCACTTTTAACTTTGACTGAAGTTGATACTGTCATATTTTTTAAACGAGAAGCAACAAATTATGCCGCACGCGCGAAGTTAGTTGAAGATACACGATGCGGCAGGAAGTGGCGGCGGCCGCCGCTTCAGGCATCCCCAACTTTCCGGCCTGACCCCATTCCCCTACCCCACGTAGCCCTGGCTGGAATCCTACTCACCAGCAGAAACACACTAACCTTATCATGGTGTTGTGTCACAACACCACCATAAGGTTAGTAGTGTTATTGATGTGTATCATCTTTCCTCTCGCTTTCCTGCAATTTGTGGGAGTGATTTCGTGAAATGGGACGTAAGTGTGCAACAGGAAGTCGCGAAAGCGCGTGCTATAAACTCGATCGTGTTTAAAATATGACCAAAGCTTGGCTAACGTACGCAAGGTCTAATGTGAAATGCCGGCACTTGACTTTGCTATTCGTAAACTTAACACCGGTCTGGCCTTTTCATTCCTTACGATAGAGACAGGCTGTTGTCAAGTTCACAAATAGCAAATAGCCAAGTGAAGTGTCGGGTAAAGTAGGATGGTGGCTTACATGAGCTGGGAGGAACTTTGTTACTTACTGTAACTATATAACTCGCCATATTTGTTTCTTAGGTTTTCACGCACATCACTCATTAAATAAAACTAGTTTTTACGGGTTAATGCACGAAAACTTTATTTATTTATTGACGTTTCGTAGTCTTTATTCTGACCACGTAGCCTGTAAAGACTACGAAACGTCAATAAATAAATAAAGTTTTCGTGCATTAACCCGTAAAAACTAGTTTTATTTATATAACTCGGCGCTTCGAACACTAGAGTATTGGCACACTGATCATGACATGGCAACTGGCGTGTAAATTTAATATGAGGCAACTTTTAGCAACTACTTGCAGTGTGCAATGAACTGAGGTATTCTAACGAAATATGTGAATCCTTTAAACATTCTGAAATAGTTGAAATATCAGTTGAAACGGGAAAGAGGAACCTTTATTTTTTTTACAAATGCGAAACAATTTACAGTGAATTATATAAATAATTTCCTACATTATATTAATCCTGAATCGAAAATACAATAGTACACAATTTTATTGTGCGGAATAGAAGTCAAAATATAATATATAAAAACAGTTGTCCAGCGTCGTCTTTGACCTATTGAAGGCCCTGGGCATATTAGGATAATGGGGCCCCTACGACCCCCGTTTGGTGATTTAATAGGAACTAGGGACTTTGTATTTGATCTGAGGGGGGCCCCTATCGATCGCGGTGTCCTGGGCACTTGCCCAAAGTGCCCACTGGGAAAGAGGGCTCTGCAGTTGTCAATCCCAAACTTAACTAACCGTTGTTCTCAGATACGTCAATTATTTTTTTAATTAGAAACATAAATGCTGTAGGTATACTTCTTTGCCAATACAGCACCTCAGTTTAAAAAGCATAAAATTTTAGTGACGTCATTCATAGGAGTACTGCCATTAGTGTCAATGTTGGATCGCGCAATCTTACATTAGAGCATGTGATACAAAATTCTTCCTCTCAATGTTACCACATTATAATAAATAAACGCTTTGGATTAACATATCCTTGAACCTCTCCTTGATACTATTGCGCTGGTTTTTAAATGGAGCTCTTAACTAAAGACTATTTCATCCGTAACATTGCTAATAAAGTCGAATCTGAAATATTATTTTGATATAGCAGCTTCGAATATTTCTTATAGAATTAACTGGCCGATTTTCCATTGGCGACTTATAATATTTGTCGATTTCTAAGCAACAAGTAAAGTCTGGAGTAAAGATAGGTGAATTGGATTATCTCCTTTAAATTATACGCAATATATGGAAAACAGTAATCAAACTCAAAATACACTGTACTATGTTTAATTAAAGTATTGCCATAAAAGAAAATTAACTTTTTTTTAAGTTCATTTACTAGAAACTTTTGTTTCTCGGTTTGTTTATCTCTAGAGGGCGCTACTTGTTCCTTGGGTGGGGTCATTTTATATTGATATGGTTCCTTTCACGGAGACTGAACGTTTTTAATAAACAGCCACCAACGAGTCCAGACTATTCAATTATTTTTGCAAATAATCATAATTTTTAAACTGTAGCTATTTAAAAACTATCTTGGTCCAAAAGAAGGCTATATACTGTTCGGATATATAACAAAATTAGTATACAGAGATTAAACATTCAAGACTCGTCATATCATATATTCAAGTAAGCAAACTTTAACGCAGCTCATTTCATTGTAAAACAATCTACCCTAAGACTTCATAAATAATTTTATTTAATGTACAATCGAATTTATACCGAACGACAGTAGATAATAAGGATTAAAATAAACGTACACCTAATTATCGAATCACAATAAAAATATAAAAACTTTTATTGCATCATTTGGAACAAACGTATGGACATTCTTCAGTCGACACGCCCTAGTATTGTACTATAATATAAAAAAAATATATTTATAAGAAATATACACAAAAATCCGTAACGAATAATACCAATAGTACATATTATAATGTATATATACACAGTACACCTCGAACGCCGAATAAAGAAACAGCCGATCCAGATTATCACAACTTTTTTTAATAAAAAATAAGAATAATAATTTACAAAGGGATTTAGATTACATTATAAAGATCGCTATATGTCTATTTTTTTATTCAGCATTCCGCTGTCCGTACACTCGCATACAGAACATTTATTATAATTTAAATTAGATTTACAACAAGAAACGCTCAATGTTCAACATTATCAAGATTAAGGTAATAACAAAAAAAATAAACATTCCTTACTTAAAACAAGTTATTAGCTTATTAAGTGTACATATACAAAGGAATTTAAATCTATTAAACGAAATTACAATTATGTAAAATTGTGTTGCAAAATTTCATGAGCTGTACGGCATAGGAAATAAAGTTCAAATTAGCGAGACGCGAGCGATACTATTAATTATTGTAGCTTGCCATCAAGAGAAACATATCGCTTGTTGGACAATCTAATGAAATAAAAAAAGTTTAGGTGCTATTTACGTTTAACAACTGCCTGAAGAAACAACATACAGCGACGACAAACAATAAATATCAGTCATTAGCTTTCCTTGATTTAAAAATTTGTTAAGGATAATAAGAAAAGGCTAATAAGAGCAAATATAACCATTTAGCATCCATTCAATAAATCAGTAAATTCAAAACGTGAGTTTCAAATTGCTCTAAGAACACAAACTCTGGAAAACTCAGCGTACTACGATAACTCGATAATGAAAAAATAACGTTCACATAAACCTCGATCGTGTTTAAAATATGACACAGGGCTGTAATAATGATACATAATAATATCAAACATTGAGCATTTCTTTCGATTAAGATAGAATTAAATAAACTGTGATATACAAGAAAAGTATATGCTAATCATGACGTCAGACGCCAATCACCGTTACCAACAATTTCATAGGACAACAAACTTTACGACACCACTACAAGTTACTTTATTACGACTAATTTGCATAGATTTCATCCCGAAGATCGATATTTTAACTATTCACTTGCCGGGCGGCACGTCGATTCGAGTTTTCGTAAATTTAGTGAATTCTATTTAAATTTTGATTTAAACATTTTTATTCGTGAAACTTAAAGACTAAGTCCTTTTTTATTCTTCTCAGCATAAATGACTCCTTTCTGGTGTAGATTTTAACTTAAGCGTCTAAACGGACTAGTTTTCAATCTAAACAGAAATACAGGCACTGTGAGAGGTTGTAATATCGTCACATCTTAAACAATAAGAAGTGAAATCGAACTTTGTGTCGTCAACGGTAGGGTTCACAATAGTTTTCGAAAGCAACAAGCCGTTAAAAAACTTAGCAAACCTAGGGCAGTGTCGTAGCACTCGACAGAGTCAATAGTGGCTCGATCGGCCGATCCTTTCATTAGCTAGCACTCGCGAGTCCGATTAACAGGAATGCGTCCCACAAACTCACTAGGAAGTCACCCGTAACTCATTTCACTTGGCTCTTGACGTGTTGTAGGAACTCGTAGTAGGAGAACGCAGACTCCACTCGGTCCTCGATGAGACGCTCCGTGAATAATGTGCGTGACGGTGAATTGTCTCTGTTGAAGACATTAAATAGGTTAAGGCAATGCTACACGTAAAGTTTCACAACAAGCAACGAATTAGAAACGAAATGCTACCGCTAAAACATGGTTCCAAACTCATACAGCTAAACTTCAATGCTAACGCACGCAGGCAGAATAAAATACTTTGACAAATCAAATATCTGCAAATCGAATCGGATGTCCATTCATTCGTAATCATAATCAGAATCATTTATTAAGTTTAGGCTGTAACAAGCACTCATGAATGTCTAGAAACTACGAAGCTACGCCATCAGTTCGTAAATCTACGGCGGGAGACCTTGTACTGAGATGAACCGGTAACATAATGTTAAACGGAAATTCAAACCAATCCCATGATCGGCGTGTTATCTCAGGTTTTTCGCCGTGCCTACTTAATCGCAGTTTGGAGCCACTTTTGGTTCGTTTAAATTATATTATTTCTAATTCGTTGATAATAAGTACATTTCAATGTCTAAACCAAATATCAAAAATTATTGTTAAGTCAAAACATAACACGGTGAAGTGAGGCATTTTAAGGCGCAATAGCCGATATTTTTTATTAGTTATTTAAAGAGATTCGCTCTGCACTATAAATTAATGAATAACATGCGATACGCTTCCCTTGCTACGTGCCAGCATAGCTTAATTTAACCAGAAAAAAATCAACTGTAACATTTTAGATATTTTTAATAGTGCGTTCAGTTCCTGTAGCATGAGCACCTCAATTTACATAATATTACGTTTTTTATCGCGTCTAACTGTCAAACTCTATATTAATTTGACAATTGAACGTGATAAAAACGATTTATCTTTCATATCGCGGTGCTCATGCTATGAAGGCAGATCTATCAAAGTTCGCGCGCGCTATGATAATGGCTACACTTAAAAAATCCTACTGCGCAGACGTCACATTCTTCATTTGTCCCGCCTCCCTCCCTGTCAGGTTGACAAATCATCGTTTAAGATACTTTCCGAACTTAGGAGACACACAATAACGTCCTTTGGCGTTTCTCGGAAGTTGCCTTCCGCTCTTACGTAGGGACACGGAAAACAGACCACCTAACTTGGCCTTCCGGCTGATGGTTATGGCAACATTGGCAACGCCATCTTGTTCAATCGAGCTGAAGCTTCTAAAACATTACCATAGACGTACGATTTCCAAAAAGGACTGTGTACTTTAATTCTAAAATTCCCAGAATGAAAGATAAAAAAGGGCGATCTATCCCTTTCTAATAAGATGAGCACTACTTTTATGAAATACATATTTATAAAATTAAATTTGCAGGTTTTTTGACGTGATGAAGTCATAAATCAATGAACCTGATGATGTACGGGCGGTCGTCGTTGAGCCGCTCTATTAGCGCGTGCAGTCTCGCGTTTCTAGGCGTGTATAGGCGCGGAATGAATTATAATTTCGCCATCGCTTCTATCAGTATCACGCTGGAATCGTATGGGCGGTCGTCTTTGAGCCGCTCTATTAGCGCGTGCAGTCTCGCGTTGCTAAACTATAATTTTCTTATCGCCTGTATGACTGTATATAATATACTCACTTGATCAGTATCACGCTGGAGGCGTAGGGGCGGTCGTCGTTGAGCCGCTCTTTTAGCGCGTGCAGTCTCGCGTTGCTAAACTATAATCTTCTTATCGCCTGTATGACTGTATATAATATACTCACTTGATCAGTATCACGCTGGAGGCGTAGGGGCGGTCGTTGTTGAGACGCTCTATTAGCGCGTGCAGTCTCGCGTTGCTGAACTATAATCTTGTTATCGCCTATATGACTGTATATAATATACTCACTTGATCAGTATCACGCTGGAGGCGTAGGGGCGGTCGTCGTTGAGCCGCTCTTTTAGCGCGTGCAGTCTCGCGTTGCTAAACTATAATCTTCTTATCGCCTGTATGACTGTATATAATATACTCACTTGATCAGTATCACGCTGGAGGCGTATGGGCGGTCGTCGTTGAGCCGCTCTATTAGCGCGTGCAGTCTCGCGTTGCTGAACTATAATCTTGTTATCGCCTGTATGACTGTATATAATATACTCACTTGATCAGTATCACGCTGGAGGCGTAGGGGCGGTCGTCGTTGAGCCGCTCTTTTAGCGCGTGCAGTCTCGCGTTGCTAAACTATAATCTTCTTATCGCCTATATGACTGTATATAATATATTCACTTGATCAGTATCACGTTGGAGGCGTATGGGCGATCGTCGTTGAGCCGCTCTATTAGCGCGTGCAGTCTCGCGTTGCTGAACTATAATCTTGTTATCGCCTATATGACTGTATATAATATACTCACTTGATCAGTATCACGCTGGAGGCGTATGGGCGATCGTCGTTGAGCCGCTCTATTAGCGCGTGCAGTCTCGCGTTGCCGGGCGAGGATAAGCGCGGGATAGTTCGCGCGTCGTCCGTCAGTTGACTGAAGGCGGCGACCCCGAATGTGTCGGACAGGAAGGCGGGGCTGACCGCGTGACACACGTAGATTATCATCGTGTCGCCGTCGTCTAGAAGGTACGCGCCGGTTGAGTTTATCCTGGTGATTGAGAAAGGTGGAAAATCAGTTTTGAAGCAGTTGTTCCGAACAAGAATCCAAATTACTTAGTTGTACCTCAATCAAACTCAAAATTATTTATTCTGTTAAGGCTGTCACAAGCACTCATGAAAGACTAGATAAAAGTCTAGTTCGATGGCGTCTCCCGAGACGTCTTAAATAAAGTCTTTATTATTTCGCATATAGCCATGTCATAAAATTTTACGAGCTTGCAATTGGAAGTGTCATAACTCTTTGACGCATGTGTTTTGACTTTCAATGTTTAAATAATGCCTTATTGTTTTTGACAACGCGATCATATTCCGGAGCTTCGTGGATCGTCCAATGTACCTTTTAGGCAGATATCGGCCACGATTTTGTTCGTTTTGTTGTATCTAGTATAATTATTTAATATCATTGACAGAGCGTGTCTTAAGGCGCTGTATTTTCTGTGCCTACCCCACACGGGACTCGGTGTGAAGATATAGAAGTGTGAAGTGATTTTGAGATGGTTCCTGTGAATAAAGGAGTTATTATCATCACCTTTCAGCGGACAGTTGCAGTCGGGGCGGGTCAGGCGCAGGGTCCTCGTCGGGGCGCGTGTGCTCCTGAAGATCATGTATGGGATACAGTTCTGGATAAACCGCTCGCATCAGCTGGTAGAGGGGTAAACTCTTCATGTCGCACATGTCGGCTACTCGATCGTCGAGGCGCGTCGATGTGCCCGTGCGGAACGCTCTCTGTATGACAATAATTAATGAAGAATAGAGTAAATTAGCTTTGGAATCTCTATCTCAGCTAAATACTTAAAATAACAACATAAATAGCAGTTATTTGATAACAACTAATACTTAAAATTACTATACAAATACCAGGTAATTGATAATAACTAATATTTGAAATACTTATAAATATACTTATAATATATTTACTTAATATAAATATTATATTGCATTCAAAATTTGATAATAGCTACAGTATTAGGGTATTTTATGTCACCTTTTTGAAGTGAAACTTCTATACGCACACTTGGGGGGTAAGCTGGCGAATGCGAAAAATTACGAAAAGTGTAGTCAAGCGAGTCGAACGGAAAGGAAATAAGCAAGAGAAAGCATTTGAATAGGGTACATATATGTAATCGGTCATTCAAAGACTGTATACAATTTAAAGCAACTAGTTATAAAATGGTTGGAGCAATTTAACTATGACAATCTTAGAACAATTAGTACAAACAATTACTAGTCTGTTTTAGATCTATACATTAATAAATATCCAGACAAACACACACCTAAACTAAAACTATACATAATTCTAGTTTTGAAGTAACATAGAATAATAATAACATGTTTATAATAATTTTATATTTATATAGTAAGGGTGAGCCTGCCTCTCATAACACAGGGTAACCTTATATGAGAGCAGTTCAAATTTCCAAAAAATATTTGGAATAAAGAATTTTTTATTTATTTTATTTATTTATTTATCCCACTCACCCGCTTCAGTAGCGCCAACAGATACAGCGGCAACAGCCTGAGGTTGACGGGCGCGTGTAAGGCCGCGGTCTGAGCGCCAGCGGGCAAGTTCTGCGACAAGCGGTGAGCGGACAATACGTCCACAGCGACGTTCGTTAATGCCTCGCGCGCTTCCGGCATCGACGCGGACACGCAACGATCCGCCGCTATAAACAAATATAATAATAAATTTAATATTTCTAACACTCACACCAATTAGCCTAGCCCCAAAGTAAGCACTGTAAGGCTTGTGTTATGGGATGCTAGGGTAACGGATAGAATACATATACTGTACATTTTTAAGTATATTTATATAGAAATACATATTAAACATCCATGTTTGGAGTACAAATGCTCGTATTCATCACACAAACATATGCCCCCATCGGGATAAGAAACCCGGGACCTCTCGAGTCGGCGACACCATGAAACCCGCCGTTCAAACCACTCGGCCACGGAGGTCGTCAATAAACAAAACCGAATCAAAATAATTAAACAATCTTAAGGTGCGTACGTATTACAGACAGCCTCAGGGCCTATTGACTTTCCCTCTGTGCGAATGTGTTTGTGTATATCTGTATGTGTGTGTCTTTTTAAAGTCGGAGAACTGGAACACGCGTTCCAGTGTGTTCTTTATAAAGGACTGATGTCTTTGTCCCTTACTGGATTCGGTGTTCCACTAAGCCAAGATGATCTGACGTTCTATTTCCACCGGTTGCTGGAGTTTCTCGGAGCCGCTGATCTTCGGGCTCCGGGCAACTCCAGCAAGTATCGAAGATGGGTCAGCGCCCGCGCCGACCTCCGGGCTACGGGGTATAAGAGAAGCCTCACCACGCACGGCTCGTATGGGGGCTGCCTCGGTAAATAATTAAACATGAGGGGCAGCAGGCTGAGACAACACGCCTCGGGTCGAGCCAGGAAGGCGCAACATCAAAATGGGTAAAACCGTGCTCAAATTACGTCGATACAAGCGAGGCACGTACGCTGAGGCAACTTTAAGCACAGTCAAAAAAATCGACACGCGTAAACCGTATCGCTTCGTCAAAGTTTTTATAAACTAAGCAGCCGTAAGAACATAAGAACAAATTAGCTCATTCCATACAAAATTTACGATTACGATAAGTTACGGAGCTGTCAAAAAAACGAGAATTGGGCCTCTGATGCATCCACGCAGTAGCATGGATTTACTTCAAATTTGGCACGAATATTATTAAGAAGTCGGGTCAACATATAGGCTACATATTATCACGCTATCACCTACGGGGAACGAGCAATGAACCTTTATTACTTACTAACTCCACGCGTACGAAGTCGCGGGCGGTCGCTAGTAGTTGATAAACCTACTAAAATTTCGATGTCCTCCATCGAGAGAGTGCGACTCTGACAGATGTTAGTTCCTTATACTAAGTTCACTCGAGCCGATTTAAATTGATAAACTTTCATCGTTCAATCACTTTTCATCAATTTGAGTACTTTTATTTGAAAATCTGTTCAGGCGGTTTAAATAGCATTCGATTAAGCAGTTGATCAACTAAAATCGCCTCGTGTCAACACGGTATTAGGGCGACAGGTTAAGGTACATTTTCAATTTAGTACAAAAAAGGTTTCAAAAATGAACGAAAGAATGGAGTCATTTGTCGGACCTATCTATAAAAAAAACGAGCGAGCCTCACAGTAGTCGTGTATGATGTGTAACATTTGAAACCTCACCATTAGTAGAAATGAAATAAAAAATCCTACTACAAAAGGAATAAGCCATTTGAACATTATGTTCTAAAATCAAATCTAATAGCGCGCGCTTCCCAAACTTCCTGTTACACACTTCCATCCCACTTCACGTAATCATTCCCACAAATGGCACACTTAAAAAAAAACTCCATATATTATACATTTCCACAATATATTACTTACCCATCTTAGCCAGGAGACCCACGATACACTGTTGGTCAGCAGAATGTAACACGTCCGTTAGCGTACTCGCTATCGGCAACGCTAGCGTGTGCACGCGGATCCGTCTCTCGCCTGGTATGGACAAAATAATGAGCAATTAATAACTATGAAAATATTTAAATCAAAATAAAATTTTACTAGAAAAAAATCCACGCGGACCAGGCAGCAGACGGGACAAGGGACGGGATATGACAAATATCTAGCAGTTAAATGCTTAAAAAAAACATCTATGATAATATTTTTTTTGTGAAGCAATCCGCTTGAGGGTGCTATAGCACTAATTACATATTACGGATGTTGCCCAGATCCCTAGATTACAGCAGTAATAGTTAAAATTGTTTTATTTGAAGAGGTTTGCGAAAAGATATATATTTAATGAAACAGCCAAAGTGTGTTTAGGAACTTACTCTGTGGACTAAGTAGTTCATATAGTACGTAAATAAAGCAAGCAATAAAGCAATCGAAACAAAACGCCTTAAATATCGTCAGATTTATTTTTAGAAAAGATTTCGTTTATAACTATTGTTCCAATAGGCTTTTCAACAGGTTTTTGGAAACGTTCATGCTATTTTATTGGTGCATTTATAATTCTGTTGCGAATTGCAGTAAAAACACTAACATTATGTCTTCAAATATGCCCCGGAAACTTTTCTCTAGCAAATATGTCGCTTCACGGGCAGCTGACGCCACGCGGCCCTCATTAAAATATCAAACAGTACAGAATAATGTCACTTGCATGTTTTTAAGCAGGTGACGTCATTTTAGGCTCTACCAATCCTAGACATTTTCAGTCACGTGACAATAGATTAAAGGGATAAACTCAAAAAGTACTGCATGGATTTACTTCAAATTTGGCACGAATATTATTAAGAAGTCGGGTCAACATATAAGCTACATATTATCACGCTATCACCTACGGGGAACGAGCAGTGAACCTTTATTTCTAACTAACTCCAGACTTACGAAGTCGCAGGAGGCTGCTAGTATTAAAAACACATGCTAATAATTATTGGTACTTTATTTTTCAGTAATAACACTCACCTTTACTGCTAGTATAAAGCAACGCAGCCTGGAAGCATACTTGCTGCAGATCAGATAGGGACTCCTCGATGGTGAGCTGCATTCCGAACCCGGCGTCCGGAGACACGTTGGGCAGAGACAACAGATCCGTGGACCGCACGAAGAAGTTGCCGTGGAACGTGTGGATGGCTATGCCTCTGAATAACAAAATATATAATAGTTAATAAAAAAATGTGTGTTTTCATACTGTAAATGCCATAACAACAATAATATGCCATAACTTATTAATGTAATTATTTTTAATTTGTAATTTTATTAATTTAATTTTGTAATTTTTATTATTATTTTTGGTTTTCTTGACATTTGTAATTTTGTATTTATTTTAATTATTATTATTTTTTTGTTTACATTTATAATTTTGATTTATTTTAATCATTTTGTTTTAATTTATATGGCTAAATGGCTGAAATAAATGAATTGAATTGAATTCATAAAATCATGATGAAAGTGCAATTTTCAAAATCATTATTTAAAAAAGTCCTTTCTCGGCTGGGATTCGAGCCCGGGCCCACCGCGTAGCAGGTTTTTTTTTACTTACAATAATAAAAAAATTAAAAATGAAAAATGAATGACATACCTACAGTGAGCTTTTGGCATGATTTTTAATTTAGTAATTTTAACACTATTTTAGGCTGTTTTGATTGACATGAGTTGAAATTCAAATTAGCAAGCCCTACGTAAAGGACATAAGTTACTGAGCTTTTAGCTTTACAAATATTAGGGGGGAAGAGGGGGCACGATAAGGAAAGTCTATCAACTCTGTATGTAAATGTTAGTGGTGATGGACTGTAATTTAAAAGAGTCAGTATTAGTGGTGATATCAATAAGTATTTACCTAGTACACCGCACTCACGACGGAAACCAATCCTCCTGGTGAGGTCTCTATTTAGCTTCAATGTGGACAGTAATTTAAAAATTTACGTAAGTTTTAGTGGTGACATCAATAAGTATTTACTTAGTGTACTAAGTCTCATAACGGCCTCGAAGCCGATATTCCCGGTGAAGTATCTACGCAGCATCAAAGTGAACTGTAATTTAAAAGCGTAAGTATTAGTAGTGATATCAATAAGTATTTACCTAGTACACCGCACTCTCATGACGGCCTCGAAGCCGATCTTCCTGGTGAGGTATCTACTCAGCATCCGTTGTAACTGGGCCGCTTGATGAGATCGCGACGCTTTGAATAGTGGGATGTGATGAACGCTGCCAGCGCTGAATTTACTCATGCCGCCTGAAAAATGCATATAACCAATGAATCAGAAGTAATATAGAACGCGAACTGCGCTAAAAAGTGGTTCCACAAAAACTGCGATCGAGTGCGCGGGTCGAAAAAACTGCGATCAACACGCCGATCATGAGATTGGTTAAAGTTTCCGTTTAGCATTATCTTACCCAATAAATGGACAGTCGAATTAATTCGCAGATATTTTATTTGCCGAAGTATTTTGTTTAATCTGCGTGTGTGTCGCGTTAGTACTGAAGTTTAGCTGTATGAGTTTCGAACCATGTTTTATCGGCCTATTAGAGAGTAATGCTTCTATATAATTTCTAATTCGTTGCATATAACATGATGAAGGGTTGAAGAGCTCGATGGCGCAGGTGGCTAGCGCACTCGGCCTGCGATGGTGGAAGTTAAGCAACTTTTGTAATGGTCGGTCATTAGATGGGTGACGAAAAAACTTATTATCTCGAGCTCCACCGTGCTTCGGTAGGCACGTTAAGCCGTTGGTCCCGGCTACATCTGCAGTCGTTAGCACCCACCAATCCGCACTGGCCTCGTGGTGATGGGTTCATCCATAGGGAAGACCTGTGCCCCAGCAGTAGGGACATTTATAGGCTGATGATGGTGATGATGGTGATGAAGTAAGTATAAGATTGTATACTGACTGAGTGTCGCCAGATCGCTGTACTGTGAGTTGAGAAGGAACAAGTCTACGGCCACTTGTGCCCCACTGCAGTCTAAAGCCAGCCTCTTGTAGAAATCTGTCGCCGGATTCAAGTGTGCCACATCTTTTGAAGACCTCGCGTTCGGATCCTCTCTGTCAACAAAAGAAAACATTATTAAATAAAGATAAGTACTCAAGACTAAGCTGTGCAGACTTGGTGTATTTTGCCATTCCCTAACAGCTGCCCTAATAGTGAAACAACACATGACGTTTCGAATCCTATTTGGATTAACCTGTGGAACATCAGGTGGGGTGGAATCATTTGTCGGACCTATCTATAAAAAAAATGATGTAGGCTACCATACGTTGTGAGCGCAGCGCCGGTAGCGCCATCTCTTGAGGAGGCGAGTGGTTATTTCCTCCATGTAGGTTATAAGTAGGGCATGTAGATGTCGCCGCCACATTATCATATAAGTCTTTGTAACCCTTCTTGAGAGAAAATAAAAAGATGATTATTAAATGCTATTTTATTACCTCGGTTGTAGCGCTCCAGGTCCGATGTTAGGCAAACAAGTTTGGAATACTGTTATTCTTCCGCCAGTTGGTGCCTGAAATTATATTTTATATTAAAACTAGCTGTCCCAGCGAGCTTCGTACCGCCATAAAATAGGGGCTGGTTGGTGGTAGGAGGGTGAAAATTTAGGGTTATATGTATTTTTGTATCATGTATCATAAAAAAATAAAAACAAAAAATGTTTTCCAAAAACATAAAATAAAAAATTAAGGGTTAATTAACAACAACAACAACCCTTAACATTTAAGGGGATGAAAAATGGATGTTGTCAGATTCTCAGAGCTCCTGAATATGCATATAAAATTCCACAAAAATTGGTCTAGCCGTTTCGGAGTAGATAATTAAACTACACACACACGGTGACACGAGAATTTTATGTATAAGATAAGTATTCTTAATATTTTCTAAGTACATGTGGTATCTAACTAATGGAAATCTTTAAAATACAAGCAAAAAACAAAATGTTCTATCATTAATCCGGTCAATCTAGACTTTTTTTTACATGATGTAAATGTATCCACCGTTACTCTTATTTTTCTGTCTAATTTCACCGGTTTACATATAATTATTCTCTTTTTATTAAAAGATTTTTATACTTTTAACTAGCAGTAGCCTGCGAGTTTACCTGGGTAAAATAAAAAGTTCCCCAAACAAACTTTTATTATGTAAAGTAAACAAAATTCTATTTAGTCCTTCAATTAGATTATCAAAAAATAATGGACATATATTTTTTCTTTTGTCAATCAACCAAGAAATTACAAAGACAAAGCGAGTCAAAGATAGGGAGTAGTGGCTCATAACGCCATTTCTAAGTAAAAATTTCACCAAGACGTGGCGTCATTTAACATTTCAAACCAACATATTGTTACGTGTCGGGATGGGGTTCGAAAATATATGCCAGTTCACGCTTGACTGTACTTTATTCACCACACAGTTATCACACAACGTTAATCACAATACACTCACTAAACACTGTACTTCACTGTACAAGTCTTTAAACAATCACACCTGAACACTTTACTTGCACTTTGATCGCCTTTGTATTCGCTTCGAAATCGCTGTTGAGTAACAACTAACTCTGTGCGGCGCCGATCGCGCTGTATACGCCAATCGACGCATTCTAGTAAAGTCCCGTTAAATTGAGAGTTAACTAGCACATGCGAGTGCGTAGTACCACTTATATCTACATAGGTAACGCGCATAAGTTGTAAGCAAGTACATATGTCTTCGCACTGTCTCTCTTACGCCGCACTGCATAAGGCTCAATTTAGAATGAGCCGCACCATTCGACTTTATCGCGATCCGCGGTGTTCTGGTAAATTCTGTCACTAGTATTTTGGCGGATTTGTTTCGAGAGCGTTTGTGGCAATATCTTTGTAATGTTTTCATATGTGAATACAGAAAAAATACGTGTCCAATACCTTTTAAAAATCCACTTGGTAGACGAAGAAAAGAGTTGTATTCTGGTAAATTCTGTCTCTAGTATTTTCGCGGTTTTGTTTCGAGAGCGTTTGTGACAATATCTTTGTGAATTTTTTCATATGTGAATAAAGAAAAAATACGTGTCCAATACTTTTTAATAATCTATCTGGTAGATGAAGAAAATATTTAGTCATCATCCTTATTTTCGCGAAAAAGGTTTTTTTTTAATCCAAATTTTGCCAACTACCCTATCATCTTTATTCACAAGGTCTCACCATTAGTTTGTAAGCCGCTTGCAGGGCAGCTCCTAGAGCCGAGGAAGGTACTCCGGGCGTGGAATACCGCGCAGGTAACACAGTCAGCAGTTCCTTCACCAGCTCACGTCTCTCGCCCAAATTCACGAGTAATGACTCGGGCGAAGGAAGGAATATGTCTGGAACGGTTGATTATTAATAATAACAATAATAAATCATTTACTAACAATCCGACAATTTACATATTTAAGTATTATGCTAAATAAGTCTAGGGCTAGTGCTTTCACATAAAAAACTCAAAAATATGGATCCCTGACCCAGTAACTAGTAATAACTGTATTATCAGGATCAGTGATTCCCCAGTCGATATTGGGCAAAACTTGCCAAAATCGATATGTTTGAGTAATCAACTAAATGTAACAAAAAGATTAGAAAAATAATTCTTCTTTTGTCAAGAATGGGGAATGGGAATGTCTGTGGTGACGAGTTTGCATGTTTTTTATTGTTATACTGGCTTCGCTTCGGTGTAGAGCTGAACTGTAGACTACAGTTTTTGTTCTCAGGCTTGTATTATACACAATGACTTTCATCTATGATTCTTCTTATACCTGCATGCAAAGTCTCAGCCCGATCGGTTTAAAATTGACAAAGTTTCATACAAGCTTTCATTCCCTATTTTATCCCCTTGGGGTAGAATTGATCAAAATCCTTTCTTAGCGGATGCCTACGTCATAACATCTACCTGCATGCCAAATTTCAGCCCGATCCGTCCAGTAGTTTGGACTGTGTGTTGATAGATCACTATATCCGTCAATCAGTCACCTTTGAGTTTTATATATATAGATTGTATTGTTCATAATACGTGTTTTTTTTTAAATGCAAGAACAACAAGATATTGTATAAGGAATAAAACATTGCCGTATGAAAAACAAGTAGACTCACAATGAAAGTGTTGGAAACAAAATTACGCATACGCGTCTCTTGTCTGTTGGACAAGATCTTGGCGTTTTCTATCGCTTTGCTAATTTATTTTAATAGCTACAAAAAAAATATCTCTCGCCGATTTCGCCCTGAACGTCACGTGATCGTGTATCGTAATCATTCTTTCTCTCGTATATAATTGACATTGAACCTTACTGTCTCGACATAACGTGTTAATTTGAGTCAATGTGTCAATTTTATCTGTATAAAATGATGTATAAGTATAAAACAGCGCCGCTCGGGCGTTTTTTGATACACTTTTAGCTGCGTTCTTTATTTGTGCGTTTTAAGTCTGAAACGTTCGTTTATTAAATCAAGAGGTAGGGGGGGAGGTAAATCTAAACTGTTCGTTAATTCCGCCCAGATCAGTCTGATGTATATCCATTTGCTCGGAGTATTTTGACCGACGTGAAAGATTAATCTAGTTATCTGTCATGTTGTGACGTTAGTTTCTGTTTGAAGTTAGTATTTGATCTACCGTTGATCGGGCTATTCGTTAATAGCAGTTTAATCAGATTATTCTGTGATCACCTGACCAGAAATCCGTCGCCTCTGCGATGCAAATACCAAACGAAGCTTTTGTTAGGCGATTGGTACTTGTTTTTAAACGTCATTGGAATAAAATAAACAAACATAAAATTCCTCAATTATTTAGACGAAAAACATGTATGGAATTGGTGTTAACATCATCTTCATCAGATGTCGTCGATTTGAGCAAAAGCTAACCTTTTAGAAAACATTCTTGGCCAAGTGCTTGAGCAACGACCATAGACAAGGAAGCCTGCGCATTAGCAATTTTACATACACAAACATCTACTACGCAAGTTTATTAGTCTGTGGTTTATATATTTTTATGAAGCCAGTTTTATTTGTCTATAAATTTTTGCAAGTTTTACTCACCATCTATATCGAGCACCGTCATCTCCTTAGGCCTTGTGAGTCCGTCGCTCATGAGGTAGTAATGTACGTGGGCGTCGTAGCATATGAACCCGATCTGCATACGAGAATCACCGGGCAGTTGGTCCAGGGAGTTCTTTAAAGTATCGCATACCACCTGGAAATAATACATCGTTATATTAACTGTTAGGATAAACGATTGTAAGACGTAAATATTTTATAATCATGATATTAAATTCGATTATAAAGTAAAAAGTTGCTGAAAGCATCATCTTTTAAGGTTATGTCCCACAATTTGTGTTGTCGCGGGCGAGGCCGCGCCGCGCAAAGTTGCTAAACGTATGAGAACTCCAACGTTTGAGATTTAGTAGTATCTCACGTCCAGCAGGAACAGGTAGACGGCGGGCTCAGGCGGCCGCAGCATATACTCGCCGGGAGCGATGACCTGGATGTGGCCGCCTGGAACTATGTATCTACCTGCAGGTACCCTGTCTCGCGCGTCAGTTGGCTCACGCCCAGCGGCTGAGGCTACCGCAGCATATACTCGCCGGGAGCGATGACCTGGATGTGGCCGCCTAGAGCTATGTATCTACCTGCAGGTATCCTGTCTCGCGCGCTAGCTGGCTCACGTCCAGCAGGAACAGGTAGACGGCAGGCTGAGGCGGCCGTAGCATATACTCGCCGGGAGCGATGACCTGGATGTGGCCGCCTGGAACTATGTATCTACCTGCAGGTACCCTGTCTCGCGCGTCAGTTGGCTCACGCCCAGCGGCTGAGGCTACCGCAGCATGTACTCGCCGGGAGCGATGACCTGGATGTGGCCGCCTAGAGCTATGTATCTACCTGCAGGTATCCTGTCTCGCGCGCTAGCTGGCTCACGTCCAGCAGGAACAGGTAGACGGCAGGCTGAGGCGGCCGCAGCATATACTCGCCGGGAGCGATGACCTGGATGTGGCCGCCTGGAACTATGTACCTACCTGCAGGTACCCTGTCTCGCGCGTCAGTTGGCTCACGCCCAGCGGCTGAGGCTACCGCAGCATGTACTCGCCGGGAGCGATGACCTGGATGTGGCCGCCTAGAGCTATGTATCTACCTGCAGGTATCCTGTCTCGCGCGCTAGCTGGCTCACGTCCAGCAGGAACAGGTAGACGGCAGGCTGAGGCGGCCGCAGCATATACTCGCCGGGAGCGATGACCTGGATGTGGCCGCCTGGAACTATGTACCTACCTGCAGGTACCCTGTCTCGCGCGTCAGTTGGCTCACGCCCAGCGGCTGAGGCTACCGCAGCATGTACTCGCCGGGAGCGATGACCTGGATGTGGCCGCCTAGAGCTATGTATCTACCTGCAGGTATCCTGTCTCGCGCGCTAGCTGGCTCACGTCCAGCAGGAACAGGTAGACGGCGGGCTGAGGCGGCCGCAGCATATACTCGCCGGGCGCGATGAACTCGATCGTGGCAGACTTGATCTCGGGCCGTCGCGACGGATCCCCGTAAGACTTCGACACCGGGTCGTATTGGAACTCTTCCGGTACTATACAAAAAGCAAATAAATATCGTCATCATTAACAAGATATTATCTCTGCTAAAGCCTCGATGACATGGAGCAAGTTTACAAGCTAGCAAGTTCGCTAGCAGCTTATAAAAACCCCGTATCATCAAATAGCAGATTGTAAAAAGCCGATGACACGAGGCGAGTTTACAAGTTGCTAGCGAAGTGGTTGGCTTAACTAAACTACAGACTTTTCCTAAAGGTAGGAATGAGAATCAAAGGAGCTAATACTTGAGTGTGATATATTAACCTTTACACGAACTGAAAGCATTTACATATCCTCAACATGTTCCTAAGAATTCTTTTAAAAATCCAAAATATATTTTGATTACTTTACAGTAATTACAGTTGAAAAAGATACCGATTTGCACTGTATAATTTGAAAAACTTTTTTAAAAAAAATAAGAAATAATGTTTATTCCTTACTTATCTACATTTAAAGTCAAATTATCATTGTATTGATAGATCTGAGTTGTCATTACTGCTCAGGTTAGCATGGCACCGACTCAAAATGTTAATTTATTTTTAACTTTATATCGGCCAGAGCCAGAGCAACATCAACTTACTAAATGTAGATGTCTGACCTGCGATATTTCATATTTCGTAAAATAAGCAACACGATATGTGTACTGTTCGTATTTGAGGAGTTCCCTTGTTTATCTCCGAAAGTATTTATCAGATCATCACCAAATCAATATGGGACCATCTCGCTAACACTCTTACAAACAAAAAAAATAATCATCAAAATCGGAGACAACAAACTTCGGAAATATGCGTAAACAATAAATATATAAATGTAACCAGCTGTGCCCCGCGGTGTTACCCGCGGTTTATTTGAGAAATTTTCCCGCAATAAAACGTAGCCTATGTATGATCCAGGGTGTCAGCTAACTCCATACCAAATTTTATTAAAATCGCTCCAGCCGTTTGGACGTGAAGAAATAATAAACATACACACTCACAAACTTTCGCCTTTATAATATGACAAATTGAGAACCTCCTTCTTTTCGAAGTCGGTTAAAACACTCTTAAACACAGTATGGTGGCTTTCAAGACGTGTTTCATGTTTGGGCTTTGTTATTGTATGAAGTAATAAATCCATATACTAGAAGGTCATTGCTATGAGATATAAAAAAAATATAAAGCTATTGTAAGAACAGCAACAGTTTACCATACTGTTTGTAACCAATCAACCTCAAACAATCAAACGTCAACCAAAGCATTAACAGTTTACACAGGAAGTTTTGTTAAAACCTGTAAACCACTTTCATAACCTTGAAGTACAAATAGGCATCCTGAGCCATATCTTTTGAGCTATTATACTGGATCTTCATAGCCCAATATCTTTGGTTTTTTTTTTATGTTAAGGCGCATTTACATTAAGCCCGTATTCGGGTGCAAGACATTAGGGGCCGTTCATAAAATACGTTCGCATACAAGGGGGCGGGAGGGGTCTTGCTAAGTGTGACAAGATGTGACAATGGGGGACGGGGGGTCTACGGCAACGTGACGTTCGTCGTTCATTAAATTTTTTTAAATTAGTATTTCTTTCAACTATTTTTCTTTCTCAATTTTCATCAAGATAGAAAATCATTTATTTCGTATTTAGTGAACATATAGACATTTAAACCTATATAGTTTTATTATACAATAAATTGTAACTTGATATATTTACTCATGTTTATTTTTCAACATTAGCGCATATTTATATATTTAAATTTTATTATAAAAACTAAATAAATATTTAAATTCTTAAAATTTGTGTACTATCAATTGAAATTAATCATACTTGGGGAGGGGGGGGGGTCTCCGTAATATTTCAAGAGGGGTCACAGAAAGTGTGACACAGCGTGTCAGTGTTAGTCGTTTGTCCGAATAGGATATTTGACATTATTAAAAATAAAGTGACAATTGTTAGCATCTGTGTTTAGAATGCATGTTGGCAGGAGTTTTTACTATTTTTACAAAAAAATATTCGTAATTTTTCTTAAAAACCCACGAAAAAGATAATAATTTTCTTATTTTTTGTCACGTGACTCAAAACGCTTGGGATTGGCGGAGCCTAAAATGACGTCATACGCAAGTAAACTTCCTTAAGTGACATTACATTGTATCGTTTGACGTTTTAATAACAGTCGTGTGACGTCACACACTAGTAACACGCCATATTGTCCAGAGAAACGTTTTTGCGGCAACTTGAAAATGGAGTTTATGATTTGGTTATTTTTACTAAAATACACAACAGAATGGTGAATATCCACTTTTTACGGACTCCATAACCATAAGTCAATAACGTGAGATCGTTTTCTAAAACTTGTCAAATACCCTATTCGATCGGAAAATGTGCTATACCGTACCTTTCTCAAAAGTGAAATCTCGTGAAGTTATTTTGAAAGCAGGTTATCCTTATCATACTCTATAGTGATTGAAAAGGAGAAACTGTTGCCACGTACACAAATAGCAAATAGGAATAGCCATGTGAGGTAAATAAAAATCGTCATTATCAACAGGACATTATCTTTGCCAAACAAGATACAGACTTTTCATAAAGATAGAAATGAGAATCAAAGGAGCTAATAATACTTGAAAGCTATTTAATAAACTTTGCACGAACTGTTGTATCCTTAGCACGAATTCGTAACGTTTGCGAGTCCGAAATGTCATTTTCAAATGTGTACTGATTTTTAATTCTCGTTACGTACTTTGTGGCGCTGCTGTTCAAGTTTCCATACAAAATTTGATATTGACATTTCGCACTCGCAAACTATTCGAATTCGATAATGGTTCGTGCTAGAGATACTGAAAGCATACTCACAGTCGTTGACCCTGTAGCACAGATTGCACTTCCATCGTTTGGAGTCAACGAAGTAAACGAAGGGGTTGATGTACGTGCGGCAGGTGCGACACCGCACTATCGTCGTGCACTGGATCACGGGCAGATGCTGCCAAGGGAAAGATAAATTATCGATAAATATATATATTTAGTCCATAACAAACTACGTGGTTAACAAAACCAATGTCATAACAATGTCATATCTAATATTCCAAAAGACTACACAATAAACTAGAATAAATATTACTATCTAACCAACGAAATAACCAAAAATGGCTATTTAGTTTATTTATATGCGGTAGAAGTAGGAGCGAGAGTTATACCAGCAAAATCTCTCATAACTTTCTAAAAGACCACGGCCTGTAGAGAACTGCGGTAAGTTCAATTTTGAAACAAGTAACTGAGGCTGCACTAACAGGCTCCTATCAAATTTGGCTAGGAAGCGCGGGCAACTCGAGCAATGAAGGTGAGCGTTGCTGCGCATCTCGAAGGGGGCCTCCTTAAACCTATGTACACCTGGGCCACAAGTCCCGCGAACTACTCAGAGTTCCTCTCTCCCACACGCTGGACCCGGTACCCGCACTGTTATGGATTGCTAAGAAGTTCGGCTCCTCAGACTCAGTCCATTAATGTCCCCACTGCTGGGCCACAGGCCTTCTCTGAGGATGGAATACGGAGATTGGGCTATGACCAACCACGCAAGGTCAGTGCGGTTAGGTGGGTGCTAACGACAGCAGATGTAGCGGGGACTTACGGCTTAACGTGCCTTGCGAAGGACAGAGAAGCTGCAGATTATAAGTTTTTGGTCACCCATACAATGACCGACTGTTGCGAAAGTTGCTTCACTTCCACGATCGTAGACCGAATGCGCTAACCACCAGCGCCTATCTATTCTATCCTTAGGAGAGTCCTGTGCCCCAGCAGTGGGGGCATTATTACGCTAATTATGAGAATGGATGAGCGAAAACCCACACTTCAGAAAGCAAATTATACTGTTGATCTTGCCTTCATCCAAAGTTGCCAGCACTCATCGAAACTGCACTAGGCCCGCGTAAAAGGCATAAACTTCGTATTCTGTTCATGTCAGGGCCCATATAAGTGGCATAATAATAAGCTAGTCATGATAAAAATGAAATGTGGAAACCAAGCATATCCCTGCCTGATGATAAGTGCCTCAATTAAGTCATAGACAGGGCCTAAGGCCATAGCCAAAAGACACAATACCAGGAAATATCATCACTTGCGCGTTGTCAACCCTACCCCTATCCACTAAACAACTGATAAAATAACAAATATTTGGTGACTTTAGAACTTATAAATGTGTTGCTATGTGATATAGATAGCAACATCCCTTTCTAACTGTACTCAAGTAAACATCTACACTTAGTTGTCATACTGTAATATGTATATGTTTGTAAGTTACAAAAACAATAACAAACAATAGTTTTATCTTCGTTGACTTTGAGAATAATTTTCTAGTTCTTAGTAATTCTATTGACTGAGAAAATATTGACACAACTGGTGATTCGATATATATTTTATACATATACACAAACCTATACATTCTAAAACTATAGTGTAATAATAAAAATATGCATACATATATATGCACTTACATTTAAATCCTTAAATGGATGTATTAGTATTCCAAGAGGCAGTCTCGATTTCTGCAGCAAACTGTTATTCTCCGGTATACGATTTATAGTACATCTGAAGATTCTGGAATCAAAATGAAACTTTTAAGTAAATAGTAAATAAATATTGAACACTATGTTCTTTATTTACACTGCTCTTAAGTTATGTATATGTAAATCAATGCTGTTAATGCTTGCTTAGTACTTAAACCTACCACACACACTTTAAGTATTTTATTTAATATATTTTTAACCAATAAAAACAATAACTAACTACATAATCTGCAATGGAAATTAAACCCAGAAACTCTGGCATAATAGTCTATAAAAGATTACAAAGAACTGAATATTGTAAGTTTTTGTTTATGATTTGATGAGAAGAAAAATCATAATCCTTGAAATAGAGATGAAATCAATACCTTGTCTCAAGATAATTGTGACAAAATCTATATAAAAATAACTTACAGTAAAAAGTAAACAAGACATTATATTGTAGTATCTCTTTTAAAAAATCTGTTATTTAACAGTAACAATAAACCCCACAACAATGCCTTAATAAAAATCATTATAATTCATTTCTGTGTTTGAACTTTGATCAAGTGACCTTGGTGTGTTTAATGTGAATCTAAAGACTTATCAAAATAAGATTGCTATCAGTCTACATTTTTATAACAGAAGTTTTAACACGTTAGACAGTCATGGCACAAGTAGTTAATAAAAATCTCATATTTCCCACCTAGATAAACAGAAAAATATACATTACATTTACTTTGTTGGAGGAACAATGAATGAAAATGATTTATATATTATGCCATTATGCAAAACTTATTATAATCAGCTACAGTTTTTTTAAAATTGTTTGCTGATGATAACAAAATTCAGACAATATATATTATTTACTTTAATAATAAAGTAAAAAATATATATAACATTTACGACAGAAATTAATCATCAACTAAAATGCTAAAATTAAGTTTACTAATACTTAAATAGTAAAAGACTTTTGTAAATTGAATGCATGAAAGCAATCAGAATTTTAAAAACTTTGCATTGTACAACTCTACTACCAAGAACATAAATGAAAAATATAACATAGTCTGTTTTCACTATGATTTTTCATCTGCCGTTTTACTCCCAACAAATAATTTTTTTGCTTGATGATAAGTAGCCTATATTTTGCAATTCATCAAAAATGGTTCAACTATTTAAGCACTATAATAAACAGACAGGTCAACAGGCAGACAGGGTTACTTTCATTGAATTGATGTAAATGGATGCAGAAAAATAATATATATTTTGAAAACTGCTTTTTAGTCAATTGTTAGTACCAAAATTCAATATTTAGATACTTACTCAGGGCTGCAATTAGGCGCATCTGCAAACTGATGACCTAGTCTTATTTCTGGTGGATCCTCTGGGTATTCAGGAAGAATGTGTCGACACTGCATCAAATCCACCATTTGGTGCCCCCAGAGCTGATCAAAACCTTGCTTTGTAACACTCAACTGACCCATTTGTTGAGTTAAGGCCTGAGCACTGTGCTGAGGATATTGTTTGCTCATCATAGGCTGCTGAGTCATTGGCTGCTGGTTGTTCACATAATTCCCTTGAGGCATTGGTGGATATCTATTCTGTATGTTAGTTTTTGGTGGACCACCTAAAGGACCACTAAGTGGTCCTTGGGTTGCACCCATTTGATTTGTTTGAGGGACAGGAAATCCAATAGGTAAACTTTGTGGTGAAGTTAAGTTGTTTGCACTAATAGGATTCATTGGCTGTCCATTTCGTGGTGGGCCAAGGTATGTCTGGCTCTGCTTCGGTGCACTGCTGGCAGGTGGCATCATAGGCAGGCTATTAACGGGAGCTGCAGGCCTTGGTGGCATCATTCCACTTGTTGTTGGCCCAGTCATTAAAGAGGGACCAGCCATTGGAGGCCCAGACAATGGTGGAGGGCCAGACATTGATGATGGCCCAAGCTTTGGTAATGGTCCAGGTATCGGTGAAGGTCCAGACATAGAAGAAGGCCCTGATATTGATGGAGGGCCAAAAGTAGAAGGCTGAGTTGCTAAAGGTAGTGGTCCAGCTAAACTATTGCTTGGCCCATTTATTCCTGGTCTTGAAAGGCCAGGAGGGACACTCGCTGATTGTGATAATCCTAATGCTGGTCCATTAAAGACTGGACCACTACTTGTAGGTCCTTGAAGCAATGGACTATTCCTTGGTGCTACTGAAAAGGCCATGTTCGGCTGGCTTGTTAGCTGTCCTAGTTGTGATGTAACACTTGCATTGATAGGTGGCCCTTGGTTGAAAGGAGCATTTATAGATCCAGCATAACTTGCACTGCTGTTTGGAGGTTTCATGGTGGGAGGTGCACTAAAAGCAGTAGATGACACTGGATACTGACTTGAGGCTGGAGGCAGAACTGGCCCAGGAGGACCATTTAAGAGGGGTTGATACTGACTAGATGGAATTAATGGTGGTGCATTTTCATTGACTTGTCTTTGCTGCTGATTATAATTAGGAGGATAAGGTGAAGGATTATTGGCATTGGAGGTTGACATAGTAGTATTTGGTGGAAATGCAGGCAAGGGATTAGAGTTTACTGGAACGATAGAAGGTTTGATGGGTGTGCGTAAAGGAGATGACTGCAATCCCAATTGTTGTTGAGACATCATTCCTGGCTGATTGAATGCTGGAGAGCTGCTCGCACTTTGATTATAGTTGTTCATATTGTGAGGAACTCCACTGTGAGGTACCGCCGTTGGTAAATGTGCAGGGCTGTTAGAGTTTGCATCTTGTTTCAAACTTGAATATCCTGGAGGCAATTGACTCGGAGGCACATTACCATATTGCTGATTTAGCATGGAAACTGGCGGGCCACTATTAGGATTCATTTGTGGTGGTACTGGGATATTGTTGTACTGAGTTGGTGGTAAGTTAGACATAGTGTCAATCTGGAAACATGAAGTGGGGTTGTCTGTTATTTATTGTTTAGAACACGAGGTAATGTAAGAGACATTAATATAATAGACTTTACAATATTTGTTTTTAGATATGAAGACTTCTCATTTACAAAGTAACAAATTAACATGCAAATTCACTGTTTTACAATGACGGATGGGCGATTGCTGTGTAATCCACTTACCGTCAATAAATCCTAGTTGAAGCACAAATAAACGATACACTCACTTTTGTTACTCTATACCATTCTCACATAATAACAGATAATGTGAAATAAAGTAATAAAATTATTTAGAGAACGAAAATACGACCCTAACTTACGTGGCTGAGCAATTTGCAGCGCCCTCTAGAGATTGATTAAATTTGACATTGGATGTCATGTTACCAGTGTTGCCAACCTCAAAAAACTAAAAAACCACAACTCGCCTAAAAAAACAGTAGAAAGCGGTAGGTAAAGAAAAAAAGGCAGATTTCATAATTTTGCTCATATAATTAAATAATAAACAACTTTCTTAGAACTCACATCAATTGATATATTTATAATCACAGCAACATAAAACAAAAATCAAAGTAAAATTATTTTTCAGTTTCATTTTCAATTGCCTCATCTTCAATATTTTCACACTCATTTTTATTTTTAAAATCATACATGTATTTGTTGAATTTCTTCATGTGCTTTTCTGTGGCTTCGAATGAATAGCAATCAGTTATTTCGGATTTAGTGTGTAATACTCCTTTAATAGTTGTAGTCGATATTCTATTGCGTAATTTGGTTTTCATAATATTTATAGCAGAAAATAAACTTTCCACGGCGGCGGTGCTATGTAGGCACAAAAGCTTCTTTACCAATTCACACAATGTAGGGAATGTTTGAGATTTGTCTCCATTTCTTAATTCTTGTACATGTTTCCAAAAGTCGATAATATCCTTAGATTAAAACAAAAAGGGTAGATACGGTACGCTCTTACTTGCATCAAACAAAAACTGATCCCACTTTACTACATATGCAACACTCACACATCCACCTGTTTGTAAAGATACAATCGAAAGAACGAAACAGCAATATAAGTTTCAACGGCAGCGCGAACGGGACGGCGAGATCCGCGTCACTGCGCTACCGACCAATCACGCGACCAGTACTCGAAGTCACTACAGAGTAGCGTCAGAGAAAAAAATAAAAGTATTTTTTATTAAATATAAGTTTTATTATTAAAATTCAATAAAAAAAATCCACATTGAGCAATTTTCAATCTACTTTGAAAAGCTGAGGGAATGAAACTGTTTACAAGTATACCTACTAAAAGTAGATTTTTTACACGATAACGTCAACATTTTTTTAAGGTATCTTATACTGCTGGATGTGGTCATTTTTATTGTATTCAGTGTTTAAAAGAATCTAATGGAGATACAATTTTTACTAGAAACTTTACACTTATTATATTTCAATACCAATCATAAACTGATTTGATTTGACACACATTATTATATCACCTGATAAAAAATCAGTTAACAAGCGTACCTACTAAAAGTAGGTCTTTTATACGATACCGTCAACAATTTTTTAACATACCTTGTACTGCTGGATTTGGAAATTTTCATCGTCTACAGTATTTAAAAGAATGTAATCCGAAACACTTATTATATTTCTCTTCTAAGCATGAATTGCTTGTTTTATAAATCTAATCTAAACTATACTTTAAATTATACATTTAAATAATAAAAAAATATAAAGGTAAAATTAAATAACAAAAACAATAATCATCATCGATAAATAAAAATAAACATAAGTTATGCCTTGGGCTTTATAACAGAAGTAAGAATCTTACTAGGTACCTACCTACTGTGTGGCAATAGGGTTGATGACAAAACCTTTTTTTCTTCGTCGGCCAGGTAGATTAATAAAAGTATTGGACAAGTATTTATTTCTTATTCACATAATTAAAACATTACAGAGATATGTTGATATGAAATTTCCCATGACGTCACGTCTTGGTACAATTTTTACTTAGAAGTGACTTTATAAGCCTTCTCTCCCAAACTTTCACGCGCTCTATCCTTTTGGTATTAGTTTCCAAAACATAGAACCATTCTAAATCGAAAGAAGTCTTAAGGTACTGACAGGTTAAGGGATGACTGTGTATAAAGAATATTGTGCCAAAAACCTGGCAATCAATTAACCCCGATTTTAATACACCATTGAAGAACACATTGTTCAATAATTTTCTCTACATCTATTACATTAAATACCAAACTGATTGATTTTCTTTTGTATTTGTTTTATTTCGGTAGTAAAATCGTTAATTCAATGAAGCTAAAAATTTGAAGATAATTTTATATATTCATGGACTGTTAGCGGTACGAATTTCGTCGGTTCAGCAGCATATTTACAAAAATATATGCATTACAAATATACTTATAAAAAAGATTATGCTAATTAGTTATGCCAATGCTCATGGTACAATAGTATTTACACACCAAAAAAGGAACAAATTATTTAATTTAAAGCACTTATACATAAAATTTGAAATCATTTTCCTTCAAATAAAGACAATTTGTTTCTCTTTTAAAATCAATCTAATTAAATTCATCTATCAAAAAGCGCAAGATAGAATATCTTGGCCACGTGCTCAGGAACGATAGATACATGCTGCTGCAGTTGATAATGATAGGCTAAGTGGACGGAAAGAGACGTGCTGGGCGATGAAAAAAGTCGTGGCTCCCTAATATCCGGGAGTGGACCGGTATTGCCTCCGTCGAGCAGTTGTTCCGGCTGGCTGCTGATAGAACTACATACAGGAAGCTAACGGCCAACCTTCAGGATTGAAGAGGCACTGGAAGAAGAAGAAGATTACAAAAACAATTTTAAACCCTACAAAGAATGAAAACGCCATTTCTGTAAGTACAGAGTATATTAAAGCTAAAATGTCTAAAAAAATAAAAAAATAAACCTCTTCGAAGAAACCAAAATGTAATGAGTTTAATAAATGCAGCATATTTTTTACCTACATAAATTAATATTCCAAATTTCAAAAAAAATATTTCGTAATTTTTATATTATATATAAAAATTACGAAATATTTTTTTTGTTGACTCTACCCAATTTTTACTCTCGACTGACATTACAATGGCAAATATTCGCGCTTATGCTTTTTCTCCCTCATACAAACGTTTACAAGTGTTGTTGTCTTTTTCTTAATAACAAATACCGAATAAGATTCAAAACAAACAGCATTTTTATGAAAAAATATATTTTATAGTACTTACGAATGAAAAGTGATGCCGTCGGTTTTATTTTTAGTACTTGAGCAATTTGAGCACTTTTTAAAACAACACTTAGGCATTGTTTTATCTTAGAATCACAAAATTTTAGCAATATTTCTTTTTGACGTTCACATGTACGTCATTTGCATGTCAAGTTGTGACTAAAGCGATTGTGGCCTTGGGCCACAATTGATGCGGATCACTTTTGTGAGGCTAGTGCCGTATCTACCCTTTTTGTTTTAATCTAAGATAATATCGGGTGTTTTGTTTTGGTCGAAAGAAAAATCGACATTTCTTAACATTCGCCATTCTCTATCCAGTTCCGTTATATTATTTGGACAAATCTTTGGGACGAAATAATGTAAATCTGCAATGGAAGGGAATTTCTTTTTTATTTCAGAATCCAGAATTGCTTTAGGATTTAGCATCTTCAGACATTTTAATGCTTGACGGTCTTTGTCGTCAAAAGGAAACCTTTTTAATATCTGTTTTGCAGCCTCGATATAAAACTCCTTACACTTCAAGTAGAAATTTTTCAGCTGTTCCTCCTCTAGTTCTCCTATTTCTCTCTTTCTTCTGATCAAATTTGGCACCATTCCACCAACGTATATATGTTGCATCGGTAAATGTTTCTGCTCACTCGAGAAGTCAAGGTTTAATATTTTAATTTCTATTGCGTGTAAAATATTTTGTGCTTCATTTTTTTCTTGTTCAGTGAGATTCAAATATTCAGCTTGTACAAAGCATTCCAAGATCGTTGTGTATGCGGTCAGTATTTTGTCGTATAGTAAATATAATTTCGGAGTCTCGGATTGCATTTCTTTATTGAGATCGGTAAATATAGGTAATGCAAATTTCAAAAACTCCAGGTACAATTAAATTGTCGGTCCGAGAGCCTTGGAGAGAATTGATTGCGCAGAAAGTAATCTATCTACATGAACTGTAGCTTGAAAATACAATTTTATAGCTGGTAATTGTTCCAGAAGCCTATTTACTACCTCAATAAACGACAACCATCTGGTTTGGCTTGGGTGGAGTAATTTGTGTGGTTTAATATTTGTGAATGCTTGAAATGTTTTGAAATCTCCAATACGAATTTTGTACATGATTATTGACGTCTCTACAGAAATCTTCTTCCCCTTGGTATTTTTCTCACATGCGTATGATGCGCATAGGTTAAAAGAATGACAAAATATGCACTTCATAGTAAAAAGGTGAGGTATGTCATTTTTACACAAAGTGACCAATGAATGTTTATCTCCAAACATAACGTAAGCGCCATCAGAAGCAAAGCCTATCATGTTTGATTTGTAAGATTTTTTTCAACAAAATATTCTACTATTTTGCCATACAACGCTGTTGCTGTACCATCTACGATTGGTACTAAAGTCAGAAATCTATCTTCAACGCTGAAATCTAATTTTACTATTCTAGCGACAAGCGCTAAATGTTTTATCGTAGATTTATCTGTGCTTTCGTCAACAAGTAATGCAAAGCAATTGTTCTGTAACATCTCTATTATGTTTTCTTCAGCTGTCTGCCCAGTTACATTAACAATAATAGCTCTAGCTTTTGTGCGGCTTATAGATAATTGTTCGGCAATTTTCGGATCTGGACATACAGCGCAAATCAATTTATTCAAATGAGATGCTATGTTAAAAGACAGATTATGCTCAGCAATAAAGCAGGCCATTTTTACTTCACCCGCTTTAGCTGCAAGTTTTGTATCTTGTGAGTTGGAAGCTGAGGTAAACATTGATGTCAGTTTTTGTTGTTTTTGTAACTTCAAACTATTCTTCGCGTGTTTGGTTGAATCTTTGTGTCGTAACAGTTCGTGTATACCACATTTTCTGTCGCAATTACACGCAGAACAAAAGAAATAAGTCTCACATTTGGTGCATTTCTTTAACCAGCCTTTGAACCTATCATCTTTTAACCACGAACTTACGAATTTCTGTTCACATTTCACATTTTTCTTCTTAGGAGGACTTTTTCCAGTCGATGAATCACTACTCATTTTATCAAAAACTTTGTAATTATTATTTTTTAAAATAGACGCCGCAATTCAAAGAAACTGTTCAAGGTGTTGTGACTTGTGACTATAAAACAATACCTAC